AAAAAAAAAAATTTGTCCCGACGACCTATCTCTATGCGCAAATGGCTATTGTATTCAAAAATATGCTATTTTTGTATTAAAATTCTGGGTTTTGTATTTTATTTTATTTTAAAATATCTTATTAGGGGAATACATTGACTTTCATGATTATTATATAATTTAATTGACATAGAATAAAGTTCATAAGACATAAGAAATTAAACTTATTAAATTTTTTTTATTTTTTTAAAGTCGAAAAAGTAATTTTTAAATTTGAGTTAGCTTAAATAACTAATTTTACTAATCATCATAGCAACGAACAGTTGCCGAGTCGGTAACACTTGTGTCTCTCATGCATACGGTACGAGGTTCAAATCCGTCTGTGATTATTAATAGTGTGCATTTTTTTTAAATTAGAAAAAAATTTTACAAATCATTTGATTTTTACCTCATTTAGATTCAATAACTGCAATAAATTTAAAGGATCCTATCACTATAGTCTCCCCTCGTGAGAAGAAATTTATATTCATGATAATATTATTTTACTATGTGGTTCTTTTTGTGGGTACAATTTATTTTGCCAACCCTCACTAGACCTACTTTTTTCAACGATACGTCAAATGATTCATTTAAGTTTATGATATTTAAGTTAATGATTAGTTTAAGTTATTACTCTTAAAAATCAAAAAAATATTCCTTATTCAAATAAAAAGTAGCTTAACTAGATTTGTCCATACAAACAATTAANTTTTTCCATACAAACAATTAAAATTATTAATTTCTAATATTTTTAAAGTATTTATTGTCGATTTAGATTTGATATGATAAAAGTATTCAACTACAAAAGTGAATAATTTTACTTTATAATATATTAATTTTTTAACTCTATTTGTGTGTGCTACTACCTGTCTATAATATAATAAAATTTTTTGTAACATGTTGCTATATAAATCATAAATTTAAAAAAAAAATGATTTTTAGTTTCACCTGAATTTAATGATGGATTTTTACAATTATAATCAAATTTTATAATACGCTCAATTAAGTAAATCTTTTTAACAACTTTGTTTTGATTGGTTCATTTAGTTAAAGTAATAGCTAGTGGTGAAACGTGAGTGTTTTATTTTTATACTAATGTAATATATCAATAAGAAAAAGAAAAATGTAATAGAAAAGTAAAAAAAAGTGAGAGTTAAAGAAATATTTATATGGCCAGTTAAAGGAATAAAATAAAGTAATATGGTGTAAATTCTGATATGAAGGCCTCAGTGCTTGTAATATACCAAAAGAAAATTAAAGGACTTATTCGTAGTTAGAATAATAAGGATAATGTAATAAATGTATGATTGAATAATACAAAATAAGATAAGGTAATATATGATGGAATAACATTTGTTTAAATATGGCAAAATAAGTAAGGGTGTAAAGAGTATAATGATATAAATAAATGGAGATTTAGAAATGTGATTAATGGTGGTTAAATACATTAGGGTGATGGTCAAATAAATAAAACAAACACAAACGAATATGACAAAATAGTGGATTGATCTCGGGATTAAACAATAAATTATGTTAAATATCCCTTATAAAATTGTATAAATTATCTTGATGGTTATTACGCAATAGATTGTTTATTATTTGAAAGCATAAGTTTAATTTGTACTTACCTTTTATTTTATGTAACATAACTATATTTTAAACAATCCAATGTTTAGTTTGAATTCACACTGTATTTCACACAATGTCCACTACGCATTGTATAGTCAATATAACTGTTTAGAAAAAATATTTAATTTTAAATAATACGAGATCGTAACACAAAATCTATGGCTGTTATTTATATTTAAAAGATTCTATACAATCTATATTATTGTTATATATATAATTCAACAATGAACCCTTATTTGATTTTGTTGAATATGCATGCTTTTGGGGGACTATATTTTATTGAGAGATCGACACTAGTAGTTTTTAAATCTTCCTCTGGCCAGGCCAAAACAAGATTCAAAAATATTTATATCTATGTAAAAATTTTATCAAGGTGGTATTGTAGTGGCCTAATGTGTCCCGGCGCTAGCTCCTTGAAAGGATGCGGCACATTAATCACCAAGACAAAAATTAAACACTAAAAATATATTCGTAAGTTTCTTTGTGTTGTCTGCCGGTACGATGTTCGTTAGAACAAAGACATTAAGCTCAATGTTTAGCTACTTAATAAGAAAAGTTCACAATAGATTTTCACTCTTAGTAAAAATGTATACAGTATGTATAGAGTTGCAATACAATTAATCCAATAAAATTATTATTAAATTAATTTAAATCTGAAGTAATGGTAACCTTTTGCTCACAATTAACATTTAGCATTAAATGAATATCTAAAGTTGGGTTGGGTTTATTATAAAAATAAAATAATTTCAAAATGTTTGAGGTATAAGATATAATTGACATTTATTTTCATGATAAGAAATATAAAAAATTTATTATTTAATAAACAAATAAAAGATGCGCCAAAATACAATTTACATTAAATTTATTCCAAGTTCCGTTTAATTTTAAAAGAATTATTAAAAGTCCTAATTAAATAAAAAAAAAACTAAATCCCAAAGAGTAAGAATCCTTAGCAGAGTGTCGCATATTTTGTGTATTTTAAAATTACTATAAGAGCTATTTTAAATATGAAAAAATGGGTTTTTATAGTCAGACGAGGGTAGTGTAGATATCCATAGTTAGAAGCTTTAGATCTTAATTAATTGTTAAATACATTTAAATTCATTTAATTTAATAGAGAATCAATGTAGGCACTATATTTTTTACAATGAAAAAAATTACACATAATCCTAAAAATCATTTCAAAGATTAAATAAATTCCAAATACAAAAGCTTACCATATTTGCAACATTATGACCTGTCTAGTTTTGTAAAATATGTGAATGATTCTAGTAAACTTAGTAAAAAATGGATTCCGTCATGAAAACAATTCAACAATATTATAAAGTTATAATTCAAGGCAATCAGTATTTATATATATATATATATAATTAATTTNTAGAGGCGTTGCTAAGAATGGTTGACTGCTTGCCGTTGACGTATATTTAATTAATTCATCAATATTAATTTGTAATTTTATAAAAAAAGTCAATACATTTTTATGTAAATTAAGAGACAATATAATTTCCAGTGAAATTGATCCAAATGAAATAAGTAAAAAATTAGTTGAATTTTTAAAATTAGATAAATCCATTATTACCTAGAACTATGATAAGTGTTGTACAAATTTCCACTCACTATTGTTTTCATTAGAAAATCTTGAAGTATAAAATAACAAAATATTAATATTAATAATATCTCAATGCAGTGGCGGCTTGTGGCTTGGACGCCGGGACTATCGCACCCCCTACTAAAATTAATTAAAAGAAGATTATTAATTGTATGTTCTTAATTCTACATTTTTATTAAAAATGCAAATTTTTAAATAGTAAAATAGTTATAATACATTTTCCGTGTGCGAACATAAAAGTCGTTTACCTTACTATTTGCGGATATGCACACACGAGCAGTGTTTGGACGACCTATAGCGTCATTCGAATAATATTTTGATTATTTGATAACGTTATGATTTGTGCGTGTAGTCTACAA